TTTTTCAACGTTTATTTATTTTGGGGACAGAGAGAGACAGAGCATGAACGGGGGAGGGGCAGAGAGAGAGGGAGACACAGAATTGGAAACAGCCTCCAGGCTCCGAGCCATCAGCCCAGAGCCTGACGCGGGGCTCGAACTGACGGACCGCGAGATCGTGACCTGGCTGAAGTCAGACGCTTAACCGACTGCGCCACCCAGGCGCCCCAATATCATTTATTTTTAAGAGAGAGAAAGCAGGCACATGCCAGCTGGGAAGGGGGCAGAGAGAGAGAGGGAGAATCCCAAGAATTGCTAACAGTGCAGAGCCCGACTCGGGGCTCAGTCTCGCGAACCCTTGAGATGATAACCTGAGCTGAAAGCAAGAGTCGGTTGCTGAACCGACTGAGCCCCCCAGGCGTCTCTGAAACTTGCCACCTCAATTAACATACATTGGTGGTTTTAAGTAGCTCTAAATTCACAGATTTCTTCAAAACAAAAACAGTTGAGCCTAGATAATTCCACATGGCTTTTTTTTTGCTGACCGACTGACTGACGTATGGAATAAGCTGGGGTAGGCAAGGGGAAGTTCTCAGCTGGGATCCCATAAAAACCTGTGGCCTTTGGGCAGTGGGGATTTTAAAGACCAGAACAGGCAGCCATTTGCCCCCGGTGAATCCCCTGCCCCAGAAGAGGGACCTGGCCTGCGTGTTGGCGTTGAAACCTCGTGGCTGGTTTCTCATGCTTCCTGACGTTCCTATCCTTAACTGTGGATAGACAAGTGAGGGAGCAGGGCGTGGGGTGGAGGGGGCATCCCCCGTCGTGAGGTCCTGTGGTGGCATTTCCCGTTTCACTGTGCACACGAAGACGCGTGGTAGGTGGACCTTTCTGAAAGACACTTCTCTGGTTGCAGATCGACTACCATTACATCTCCTCCCAGGGCTTTCCGATCGAGGGCTGGGCTGTCGTGTACTACATCACTCACCTGTAAGTACGCAGAGGGACCCGTGAACCCTTGTCGCGTGAGATGATGCGCAGGAGAAGTTGGGGAGGCCGTGGGAGCAAGAGCCCTGCCCTCCCGTGGCGGCCTCTCTGGGTTCCTGCCGCGCCAGGGGTGTGTGGCACGCGGGTGGCTGTGCAGACGACAGCCCCGGGCCGCTGGCCTGCTCCCGGGAGGGGGCTGCCTCCGTGGGGGGATGGGCTGCTCAGGTAGTGGGGTGCACGGCGAACTCGAGGCGTTTCCTGAAGTTGGCTGCCTCTCTTTTCCGAGACACGCACGCAGTCGCGAACGAGCTGTGCGGCGGAACCGGCAGAGAAGGTCTGGAGAGACCGTTGGCATCTGAAATGCTTTCTCTTCCAGTTTGAAGGGGGCACTGCTGTTCATCACCATCGCGCTCATCGGCACCGGCTGGGCTTTCATTAAGCACATCCTCTCCGACAAAGACAAGAAGATCTTCATGATCGTCATCCCACTGCAGGTAAAGGGCCCCGAGTCCCGCGTGTCCTGGCGGTGTCCCGGCGCTTCTCAGGGCTCAGCTCCCGGCCTGTCCGGGAAGAGGGCGTCGGCTCACCCAGAACCGCAGCTCGTGCCCCTGGGGTTTCTCCCTCTGCCGTCTGGCCGACCCGGGCCTCGGGTCGTTGCCCCGAGAGCTGTCCGCCGTCACTCAGCTGGCGAGCGGTGTGTGGACGCCTGTGCCTTGAGTAGGGAGGGGCTGGGAAGTCCGGGAAGCTGCCGCCTGCCTTCCTGCGCCAGGCTCCCCTCTGACAGAATGGTCCTCTTAGCCTTGCCCAGGCACACAGTGATTTTATTAACAGGTGATTTTAAAACCGCGAACGACACCGGTGAGGCTTCACAAGGTAGAATACTAAGCGGACCTCAGGACAGCTGTTCATCAAGCCCTTCCTGGTTCAGGACCCTGGGCTGAGGCCAGCCTTCCCCGGTCGTGAGCCCCTGGGGACAGGAACCTTGTCGCCTGCGTAACAGTCTTATTGGAGGCAGACACTGGGCTTGGAGAACTCACGAGAAGCAGAGAGGGCCTGGCAGGGGTGCAGGACTGCTCTGCTCGACCGAGGAGCGTGGGTTTGGTGAAACTGTTCTCGGCCGCCCTCCCTGGGGAGCACAGTGTGGGTGTGGCGGGCGAGGGGAGGGCGGGCACCTCCCTGGGCCCCCAGGTCTGCCTCCTCACCCTGGCGACTGGTGCTCTGGCAGCATTTGCCCCAGAGCCACCTCCACGTTGATGACGCGGGACCTGTGTTAGCGCCAGATGAATGGTGCAGACCAGTTGCTGTAGATTTCCCAGGAGAGACTCATCACCCGAATCGGAACGATCTGGAAGGCTGCAAGGTAGAGAAGGGCCTTGCCTAGACATTTAAGGAAAGACCTGTGGCCGTCAGAAGAGGAGCAGTGGACGCGGGTGGTCTGTTGCCGAGTGAACAGAGAGGCTGAGGATCTGTGTGGGTCTTGGCTGTGGAGCTCCCAGGGCCACCTTGCCGGCCCCGGGCCAAGTTCTACGGCCTGCCAGAGCGTCTGAGCTCGTGAAGGAGGGCCTGGGGCCTTTTCCCCCAAGCGCCGCAAATGCCCCCCCAGCCAGTCTCCCCCCACCCCCGGACTCCATCCCTCCAGGCGAATCTTGTATCCTCACCCCACCCAAGCTGGGATGTGATGGGGCGCGGCCTTCTGGCTTTCGCACCCCCAAGGGAGCTGAACACAAGGTTACATGGCCGGCCCTTCTGAGGAAACGGCATTTAAAGAATTGAATATAGGGAAGTTAGACATCGATAAGCACAGAGGCCAGCCTGGGAAGGCTTTGGACGGCAGCCGGAAAGTAAAACTATTTCTTCGTGGCCACGGGGAGCCGGTGCACAGCTCTGAGCGAGAAGGGAGAGGTGCACAAAACGTACGCACAGACCTTGAAGGACATTTTTGGCATTTCGTGCCACACCAGGGAACGTTCTGTCGCATGTCAAGAGTGTCAGCTGAGGACGGAGGGGAGTTAGGGATTTAAGGTGAGAAAGCCTTTGTTTCCAGTTTGTCTTCAGAGGTGGAGTCCCACGTGCAGGCGCGCAGGATAGAGGAAGGCCCGAATTTCAGAGTAATTTTTGCATTCATACCAAGTAAAGTGTGGCTTCTGCGATCATTTCACTGAAAGCTCCTAGATAGGAAAACCTTACTTTGAGATGTCCCGAATAGCAGCGTGACAGATTTTGCACTCTTTGTCAAAGTGTGCAGGGTGACCTTTACAGCAGGCGAGCACAGTGTTTGGGACAGAGGACTTGTGATCTGTGCATCCACACCTACCGGAAATCTCCCAGAGAGCATCTCCTAGGTTCTGCAGAGTACTGCCTGCCGTCCCAGTGTAGCCAGGCCCTGGGGCCTCTCGCAGCACACTCGTGCCGGGACTGAACCCCCAGGGCCAAGTGGAGCGGCACGCGGTCGCAGGTGCACCTCAGGGGGAAGAACTGAGCCATGTCCCAGGTGGAGGGGACCTGGGTGGGGCTACTTCTAAGGAAGAGCAGCGTGGCCTCTCAGGCACTGGGCCCAAACCTGCCATTCTCGTCGCCCTGGTCTCTCATAACACCCTCTGGTACTTAAAAGCCTGTCTCTGCGAAGCGGCAGCAGCTGCCCAGGGAGAACCCGGGCCTGAGGAAACCGGGCGTCGTGGCTGAGTGCGGTGCCACCTGTTCAGGCCACCGCCTGGCCCTGCTGAGGCCCCGGAGGCCTGAAAAGCAAAGCAGAGGGTCCCTGTGGTCTGTGCTGTGTCGCAAATCCCCCCAAACACGGTGGCGATAAGCATGTATTCTCTTCGCGTTCGGTGGGGGTCAAGAACTGAGGCGTGGCGGGTCTGATGGGGGCCCTCGCGCAGTGAGTGAGACCGTGGCTGGGGTCACCTCAGTCTTCACCTGCCTCTCCTGGGTGGGGAAGACTCGATCAGGCGGGGCGAGAACAGCAGGGGCTCCTCCGCCTTTTTTCCTCTGCCTGGTCTCTCCACGTTGGCAGCCTCCGGGTTGCCAGAGACCGACTTCCCCCGAGAGGGCCAGCCAGAGGCGGCGTCCTTTGTACGACCTACCTCGGAAATCACATGGCCTCACTCGCGCCGCCTGACTGTCGCTCAGGGCAGTCGCACGTTCAGGAGGAGGGCACAGACACGGCTCCTGGATGGGAGAGTGGAGTGTTCTTAAAAGCATGTAGCCCTGGAGAGAATGCCGTGGCTGTGGTCGGGGGCCCGCAAGCCCGAGTGCCCACCCCCCTTGGGGCCGCTGTTGTGGAGGCCTGCCCTTGCCTTAGGGCCTCAGCGACTTCTCGTGTCCGTAGGTTCTGGCAAACGTGGCCTACATCATCATAGAGTCCACCGAGGAGGGAACGACGGAGTATGGCCTGTGGAAGGATTCTCTGTTTCTGGTAGACCTGCTGTGCTGTGGGGCCATCCTCTTCCCCGTGGTGTGGTGAGTACCCGCAGGAAGGTGGGGGGCCGCGGTGCACCCCGAGGCTCGTGCATCCGACGAGTCCAGACCCCCGAATCAGCCGTTCCCAAACCAGTCCGAACCACACGGGGCATCGGTTTAGCAAATGAGCTTCCTGGGTCCTCAGGCGGACCTGAATCCGCCTCCAGGAGCAGGAGCCTGGAATTCGGGTCTTGATCTTGTCCCTCCGTGGATTCCGATACAGCTGATCTGGCACCTTGGCTTTTATCACAGCTTAGATCATAGAGAAGGGTCTGGAAATGAGAACTCAGGGGCGACATAACGGCAGCACGAATTTGGAGGGAGGAGAGTTGAAGAAATCCTGTAAACAGCTTTCTTGCCAGGTAGGCGGAAGGTGAGGAAGTGCGTTAACATAAACCAGCGAGAGTTCCCAACATGTTCCCAGGTCAGAGGTCTTCAGAATGGCGGGCTTCAGACGCACGTGTTGCGCTTTGATTATGTGTGAAGAAATGTTAGTGCCAGTGGTTGTTGAGAGAAGATATCCTCATTAAATCTTAATGCCACGTGAAGGAAATTACCGGTTCAGTGGGAAGCAAGGAGAGGAAAAAAGGCTAGCAAAGATTCAACACCCTTACAGTGATCTAGGTCCGTGGCTGTTTGAAAGGTTACTCCTTTTGGAATAAAGTCTTAAAAAGTGGACTTACCTGTGTTGTGTTAACGGTAAAGTCCACGCTGCAGTAAACTCCTATTTTTCAAGATCCTGGGGCTTATCAGCTTATTCTGTCACTCCGATTACTTAGAATATGGTACCAGCGGAGGGTAATCCTCATTCCAGCCGGTTAGACTCACTCTTGACCCTTATTCCATCGTACGTGACACGTTGTGCATACATCAGTGTAGCCAGCAGCTTCCAGAAGATGGGAGAGTCTCCCCGATCTCCCCCACCTCCCTGCGTCGTGCCCGGGACCAGGTAGCCCAGGCATCCGTAGCAGGATGACCAGCACCGTCTTCGGGTAGAAAGAAGCGTCTTTCTGTCCGGAACAGAGTGCAAGCCCTACTCTTCGTCTGCCGCCTTCGGCAGAAAGAAAGGACCTGGAGGTTTGGGGAAGACGCAGGGGAGCGATAGGGCTGCAGGTGGTCATTTCCCTCGCCTCCTTCGTTGTAGCACGAAGGGGCAGACGTCACATGGTGATGCTCTCGAGAGTGCATCTTCTGAAAGTTGCCGTAAACGAAAAGCATCGAGCACTAGAGGTAGCTTCAGGAGCGGCACCGATGACTTTGGAGCTGGCTTTGTGCCGGCTCACTTTTGAGTGGTGTGCCGTTCAGATCTCCCAGGTGGGCAGGTGAGGGGGCGGGCGCGGGGGTCTCAGGAGAAAGCCCTTAGCCGGGGTCAGGTGGAGGGTGGGTGGCCCCATCTGTGAGCCCCCCCCGCCACCCCCCCCCCCCCAGGCTGTCCTCATCCTTTGGAGACAGACCTTCCCGTAGCACCTTTAATAATGTTCGTGTTCCCCTGTCTGAACAGCGATGATGGTAATTAGTTACCCGGCACATCGCAGCAGGAGAAGAGGCTCCCTGGAGGCTGCCACTTGGCAGCAGAATTCCAGACAGTGAAATACTGAGTTTGCAGGAAGCCATGTGCTCACAGGCTCCAAGACCTAGACCTGAGAAATCAGCCTCCGGCCTCCGTGTGCAGGGGTCCATGTTCTGTGGGCAGCAGGTGCGCTCCAGTGCGGTGTCAGGGAGTGGGGGTAGTTGGGGAAGTGAGAGATTTTAGGTGGAGAGAGAGGTCAAGAGCGTTGAAATGATTGCATTTTGCTTTTTCTCCTCACACCCAGGGCCCTGGCAGACCTTTCTCAGCCATTAGAGGGCGTCCTTAACGCTCGGGCTTGAGTACCGTACACGGCCAGGTGCTGGATGTAGAGGTCACGTTGATTCGGGAGAGTGCTCCGAAACCATCTAGTCCAGCCCGTCAGCTTATGACTGAGGAATTCAGGACCTTGAGTTACTAGTGTTGGAAACACAGAAGAGTGCAGATTGGTGTGAGCTAACCTTTTGTTCTCCAAATGTTCATTTTTAGGTCAATCAGGCATTTACAAGAAGCGTCAGCCACAGATGGAAAAGGCAAGTTTCCTTGTGCCCCTTTGTGCTGCTGGGCCTTCCCTGAAGCCCCTGCCCGGGCGCTCCCGGGAGGTGGAGGGGCCGCTGTCTCTTGGGGAGGAGTCTGGGGGAGCCCCGGGGGCTTTATGAGAGCAGCCGGGGGTGGGGGGGGGTGTTTGCTGGAGAGGCAGGTGGTGAACATTGCAGAGGTCAGTTGTGTAAGGAGGCATGGGGGCGATTGCTGCTTGCCGAGATGATTCATTGCGTTTCCACGTGTGAACGTGGTTTTCACCTTCTCCGAACTGAGTCAGGAAGAGAAAATCTTGTCTGGGAAGGACCGGATAGCACTTCGCTGTGAGAACAGGAGGTATGATGGATTGGGGATGGCTCTGTGTAAAGCACCCCTTCCTGCTGATTTAACACGCTTTCAAAATAGACGTGTCGGTATTAATTTAAGAGGAGGCTGATGCCAGAGAGAAGCTCTGAAGCTCTCTGGCTTTTAAACGGCTGTGCCATCAGAGCCTTCTGTAGCTCCTCGTTTTTCCAACCAAGCCTCCTAAGAAAAGAAGCCACAAAGAAAATGTTTTGTGTGGTTCTGCGCGTATGTGAATAGTACCCGGCCACAGGCCGCTGTGGCATAAAGGGGGAACCTCAGGCCACGGGGACCACGGAGCAGTGCTTTCTCTGCTCTGAGCTGCCTCCAGGTCTGGGAAATCGTGTTCTGGAAGGCAGATCATTCCTTTGGTGGCGTTCGTAAAGTTTTGTCGCTGATCTGTGTTTCTTTTATTATAAAAATAACGTGGATTCATCTCAGGAAAATTGGAAATCAAGTAATAGGTACAAATCTTATTTCGTACTTGCCATAAAATTAATACCGTGTTATTTTCTTTAAGTTGAACTAGACCCGATTTCAGGGCTTCACCCCCGGGTCCAGAGAGATCCCGGGGTTCTTCTGTGGAGCACGGCCCCCAGGGCATCTGTGGCTCCTACAGTTTGGGCCCACAGTGGTTGCTGGGGAGACTCCCGCCATCCGGCCCGCGTAGCACTCTGGCGCTGGGCGGCCTGGCGTGTGGGGGTCCTGCCTCGGCTGGGAGCCCCAGTCAGTGCGGAGTCCAGCCTCCCCAGGCCCGCCCGGCCTCTCAGTGGGTGCAGGCTCCACTCGCAGAACACGCCAGCTCGTGTTTTCTTTCTAGGCCCGGGAAATAGCTCTGATTTTCTCCCCTTTTTTCTTCAGAGGAACTGGGTTCCCTTCTCCCTCTGGGACAGATTCTTGCTAGTGAGTTTCAGCTTGAACTTTGCCTAAATGTGTCGCTTTCAGCCTGACTGCAGCGCCTTGCCCTGAGCCAAGGAGCTCAGAGAGCGCTCTGCCTTCTTGGAGTGGGGGAAAGGGAAATTACAGAGAACAAAACACAAACTAGAATCTTCCTAAAGCGCCTGCCGTAGACGGAAAAACCCAAAGTGGAAAATGAAAGCTCACCTTCTGGGAATAACTATTGTTTGGGGATAGCCTTGTCTTTTTCTCCTTTTTCTGTGCCTGTCATATCAAAAGGTGGCTTTGTTATTCTTTTTATAACAGCAAATTGGTCGTTCTCTTCTTTTTAACACATTGAGGGCACCTGGCTGGCTTGATCTGCGGGGAAGCGACTCCTGATCCCAGGGTGGTGGGTTCGTACCCCACATCAGGTTGTGGACAGTACTCAGAATTTTTTTTTATACACTGAGATGAGACATTCTACTTTTTCATCTTGATACATTTCAGTATTTCTGAATTTGTTTTTCTTACTCCTTGGCTGAAAATATGTAAAAATTCCAAGGGTGATGTCTTTCGGTTGATGAGTTTTGTTAATACTTTTCTTCCTAGTCTCGCCTTTTCCCCTTGTGGGTTCCTCTGGCCCTTCCTCACCAGCTCCCTTCCCCCCCACCTCCATCATCCTGCATCATCCTGCATCATCCTGCATCATCCTGCATCATCCTGATCCCTCCAACTGCCTCTCCGCCTTCTGCGCCCAGCTCTTACCCCCAGTTTGGGGGTAACCGTGGTAATGAATTGCGTCTGTGACCATCTATTCCCCGAGCTCTTCATCAGGTATTTTGCCTGGGGTGGATAGCACAGCAGGTGACGCCCAAGATGGGGTTGGAATTGTCCCCAAGCAAGCATCTGTAGTAAAGGGAAACCATCGAACTGGAATGCTCTTGTCATCGCCTGGTTCACACGCAGTTTCTTGTTTTTTCCACCAGGTGACAGCATGGGACCTCTTCAGCAGAGAGCGGTCCCATGAGCACTCCAGGGCTCTCCTTCTAGGGATGACAGACTGTTGAGAAAGCACCCATTTCTCATCAGCAAACATCACAAACCCTTTGAGGGGACAGAGTAGGTTAGATGGGGGGGTGCCTTGACCCACGTTCTTTCCGGGAGTTGATCTGTAGGCCGTGGCTGCTTTTTGGCTAATCTGCAGTTGTGTATTTCATTCGGTACTTTGAGAAATGGTTACACCTGTTAACAGTTCTGGAGTCAGGGTGGCCTCGTTCCCACGGTCAAGTCCCCCCTGCAGAGAACTCTCAGGAACAGCATCCCCCCACCCCTCCCTGGCACGCCGCCCAGGTGTGACTGCAGAGCAGGCCAGGTCAGAGCGGGGCAGAGGCTGGAGTGGGGACACGGGCCACCGCCCGACCGCAGCTTCCCGGGTGCTCTGAGTGACCCCCCCGTGCTCCTCAGTCTGCCCTTCTGAGATCTAGCCCGTCCCAGAGGCAGCTGGCAAAGTGAAGGCCACGGGCAGTAATGTCTCCTGCTAGATTTGGAAGCATTTTTGCTGGATGGAGGCTGAGGCTCCGGGTCCTGTTTATAGGCTCGTTAGGCCATTGACTCAACACACGACCTTGACAGTGACTTGGGCGGAAGACTGTCCGAGTAAGTGCAGTTCGGGCCGACTTCGGCGGGGGGAGCGCTGCGTGTGGGCCGGTGGGTGGCTTTCGGAGTGCTTGTTTGGGTGGTGGTTACTTCTTCGTCTCTGGAGTCCTCCTGACTGAACCGGGGGAAGCGTTAAGGATGCAGTCGCCCGCTGGCCTTCAGCTGTGTCTTTGTCTCCTCTGTCACATGCTGGTGCTTCTCTCCACTCGCGTGTCATTTAGAGCCACTGCCACGCTGTGCTCCCCGAGAGGAAGCTTAATTGAGTCACACGCAGACGCCCGAGCTCGGGTTCTACTGTGTTCTACCTGCCAACATTGACTGGCTGTCACTGCCCTTGAGCCTGGACCTGCTTCCTTCTTTCTCCAGTGTCCTTCCCTTAGGGGACTGGCCTGGGGGTAGATGTTGTCCACCAAATTAACAGTCTCTGCTGCTACTGCTCTTATCCGCACCCCCCCCCCCCCCCCCCCCCCCCCCCCCCCCCCCCCCCCCCATCTAAGGAAGATTCAGAGGAAGTGTTCTGAGGCCTCTGGGCTTTTATGTGAGCTTCAGAGGCCTTTAAACAAATGGTGATGGGCTAGTTGTAGGCTTGTAGAGGAACGGCTTCATCCTGAGCTGCTGCCATGTTCGGGAAGTTGCTGTGGCCGTGGGAAGTGTTTTTCAGGGCAGCCGTCCTCAAGAGGGCCCTCGGGGTCAAAACAGTTTTCATCACCGGACACGGTCATCCTTTTTTGCTGTTGATGTTTGCACTTGATGGTACAGGAGGGACGGTGGGTGAGACAGCTGGTGCCTTAGCGTGACTCAAGGCGGTAGCACAGGACTGTGTTAGTGGCCGTTGCTCTCGGCATCGGTGCTGCTCGCAGGGGGTGGGAGAGGCTCGTTCCACTTAAGAGCGGCCTCGATGAAATAGTAAAAACGACTGGTGTTGTTAAACCTCAACCCTTAGGAACGCCTTGGTGGTTCATTTGGTTGAGCATCCAACTCTTGATTTTGGCTCAGGTCATGATCCCAGGGTCATGGGATCAAGACCCACATTGGGCTTCACAGGAGTGTGGAGCCTGCTTAAGAAAGGTTCTCTCCCTGGGGCGCCTGGGTGGCTCAGTCGGTGAAGCGGCCGACTTTGGCTCAGGTCATGATCTCGCGGTCCGTGAGTTCGAGCCCCGCGTCGGGCTCTGCTGACAGCTCGGAGCCTGGAGCCTGCTTCGGATTCTGTGTCTCCCTCTCTCTCTGACCCTCCCCCGTTCGTGCTCTCTCTCTGTCTCAAAAATAAATAAACGTTTAAAAAAATTTTTTTTTGAAAAAAGAAGCTACTACTTGTCAAGTTTTCATGTGGAATCAAAGACTATTCACAGTTATCTGGAAAGGCCCCCATCTGCACAAGGCCGTATTTTCTTCACACATTTCAATCAAAACAGCTCTTGGACAGCACATTGACTGCAGAAGCAAATACCAGAGTCCAGCTGTGTTCCATTAAGCCAGACCCTAAAGAGATTTACAAAAACAGAACACGGTTCCACTCTCCTCATAAATTGTTTTTGAGTGAGTTATTTTTTATTAAAAAGATATTTAATATGAACATGTAGTGGATTCCTTCTTTCACTTTTGCATCGATTATGAAATACTTCCGAAATTTGTTTCATCTTCTCATTTGGTGAATAATGACAGATGTTACCAAAAACAAACAAATGTTCTTTGAGGTCCTCAATAATTTTGCAAAGTGTGAAGGAACCCAGAGGTCAAAAGTTTGAGAACCGTGTGTTAGAGATGAGGCTTGTTGAATCTCTTGTCACGACAGTCACGACCGAAAAGTCTGCCTGGCTCTTTTTTCCTGTGCCTACAGAGTTTATTTCAGGCTTGGCCAGATTCTTCGTTCTGGGCCTCTCGTGCCAAAAAAAAAAAAAAAAAAAAAAATAAAGAAAAAGAAAAAGTTTTGTTGGGTGTGTTCATGTAAATAGACCTAATGAAAAACCCATTGATGAGAAAGGAAGAATTATTCCCCTCGCCTGTTTTTGTAAATAAAGTTTTCTTGGAATGCCCCGTGCCCACTTGTGGAAGCATCGCCCGTGGCCGCTCCCTGCGCTTCAGTGGCAGGGTTGAGTGGTCGGGGCAGAGATCATCT